CGGTTGCTGGGTGCCAGGGCGGCTCCCGAGGCAGCGGGGGATGCTAAAAGAATTGTAGGTACGGCTTGTTTTTCTTTACTCCGCCCATGGATACTGGTCCCTCGTCTCCCGCGGTCTTTCCCTTGCGTAGCCCCCAGGAACGCCTTTCCTCCCGCATCAGTTCCAGGGGCCTGGGGAAACAGCTGCAGACCGTTTTCTCTTCTCTCCCTGACTCCTTTTCTTTACGCCCTCATCCCGCATCCCTCTTCTTTATTCTCTCCCTTCCTCCTCCGTTTCCTTCTCTCATTTTACAGGTACTCACAAGTAAGAAAGAAGAGGTCTGTCAGTCACGACTGTTTGAGAAAATTAATTTTATTAAGCTCAGACTTTTGTACACATGGCGAAAACCTGCAGGTGAACCTTCGTAAGCTCCCGTGTGTGATTGGAGATGTTTCCAGGGTTGGTTGCTGGCTTGCCTCTCCTCCCACGCCCTTCACCCCGCCTATTTCTGTCGGCTTTATCACAGTGGACAAGCACTCTAGATCAGTGCTTTTGAAGGATTAAGGGCAGCTGGTGCAAAGGTACCATGTGTCAGGCATATCATTTAGGAGTCCCTGTAGAGCTCCGCAGGCCCATACCTGGTCACTGACGCCCCACTACGTGTGTCCTAGAGTCTATACAAGATCCGATGGGGTGATGGAGAGGGGCGTTTGGCTTGGGTGGCACCGAAGGAGATTACTCCCTAATTTAACGTAGGGGTTAAATGCATTGTTATTTGTGCAACAAAAGTGTGAGAAATTAATACTTATTACTGTCAAACCTAAAGAATTCATGCATCAGATGTTTTAGTCATTATGTGCCCATGAAGTGGGTATTCATATTTATTACCTTCTGTGAGTACTAAAATTTATACTGCTGGCCTTATCATTTGACTCTGTCTTGTTCTAAGCTCCTGCCCCTTACCAGACAAAAGGCAAGAGATAGGTGCAGTGATAGCAATATATAAAGTAACATTTTTATAGCACTTCCCGTTTTGTACATTATTTTCATACTCATCTTGTGAGAGAGAGTTGGTTAACAAAATTCCATTTTACTGAAAAGAGAATTAAATACTGAGACTGAGCATTACTTGGAATATATAGTACAATACACATTCAGTAAATACTTGTTGAAGGGATTAATTGATGAGATTTTCAAAGAGCCATGCCTTACTCACTTTTGTGTTCCGGAAACCCAGAGCTAAGTCCAGCAGTCGTGAGCCCACAAATGTGAGTTAGAGAGGTCGAGTGACTCGCTCAGGTTCAGAAAGTCATCAGATATTTGGAGGGAATCTACTTTCTTGCCAGGCATTGTGAATATGATGTTTCAAAAAGACTGGCAAGATTCCTGTTCTTAGGGAGATTAAATTATAACAAAGATAGAAAATAAATAGGTAAACAATATATGAACAAGGAAATTTTAGATAATGGTGAGTGCAGCGAAGAAGTAAAACCGTGAAGTGAGAGGAACCGAGGGAGGGTTGCTTTAGATGGACTGGTTAAGGAAAGCCTCGCTGAAGAGCTGATATTTGTGCTGAGACCTCAGCGATACAAAAAAGCCAACCAGGGAAACATTTGGGATCAGAGCATTGCAGGTAAAGGAAACTTCAATTGCACAAGCCAAAGGTAGGAAAGAACTTGACTCTTTCAGAGAACATCATAAAGAACGCTGTAGCTGGAATGTGGAGAAAATGCTATGAGATAAGCTGGGAGAGAGAAGTAGAGGCCAAAGCTTGCAGGGCTTTGAATTGGCCTTGGGGAGCTACTTGTGGGACAAGTTTGTAATGTATTTAAAGCATGATGAGAAACGAGTATGGAGGTTTTTTTGGGAAGGGAGTAATGTCATGTGATTTATTGTAAAACGGTTTGTTCCACCTGTTATGTGGTGAATGGGTCGTAGGGGATGGGGAGCAGGATTAGTAGCAGAAGACACCTGTGTGGTAATGCAGGCAGGAATGACCATAGTTTTGGCTAAAGTGGTATGAAAGCAGATGTATGTGAGATATGTTTGGAGGCAGAGCCTACAGACTTGGTGATGTTTTAAATATAGGGGTGAGAAAAAAGAAAAGCATCTAGGTTTTTGTCTTGAGCTTTAGTGAATGGTTGTACCATTTACCAAACGGAAAACACTAGGGAAGAAAATGTAGAGGGGGAAGTTTATTTTGCTCACCTTAGGTTCGATCTGCTTATAAAAAACGTAAAGTAAGTTCTGAGTCTTGCATTCCGTGAACGGGACCAAAGATATAAAGTTAAGAGGCACCAGCATGTAGAAAAAACTACCTAGGGGAAGTGTGTTCCCAGAGAGCATTCCAGTGATTACAGGTAAAGCAGAGGAGATGGAGAAGGAGCAGCCAGTGAAGTGGAAAGAAACCCGGAGCATGGCTGCTTAAAAAGCCAAGATGACAGAGCGTGGCCAGTGGTATTGAAAGGTGCTGAGAGGTGAAGTAAAATAAAGAAATCTGATCATTGGGTTTCGGCAGCATATAGTAGTTGTGTACCTTGACAAGCACAATGAGGAGCAAATGTGATGTGAAGAAACGGACATAACACTGTAGACATCTCAAGATATTTCACTATGAAGAAGAACTGAGAAATCGAGGTAATATAGCAGTATGTGGGGTCAAAGTATGATTCTGAATGACGGGGATACTTAAGTCTGTTTTTAGGCTAATGGGAGAATGATCCAGTATACAGGGGAAAGTATAGTGTAACAGAGAAAATATGTTTTAGGAGTGGAGTCTTTGAGAAAACGAGTTGGGGTGGGATCCAGGGAATATGTAGAGATGTTGGCTTAGGAACATGAACATAAAATTTATAGTAATGGTTAGAAAGGCAGTGAATCTAGGTAAAGATGCAGATATATGGGTAGACTCAGTGGTCAGAAGATGAGATTTTCTGTCTGATACTGATTCTCTTTCAGTGAGCATAAAGAAAGTATGAGGCAGAATCAGTAAGAAGAGAGGAGGAATGTTTGTATAAGAGACTTAAGGGGTAAAGAGAAGATATAATAGTCATTTTGAAGATAGAAGGCAGTCATACTGTCTTGTTCTGTTCAGGCTACTGTAACAAAAATGCCGAGTCTGGGTGTCTTATAAACAACAAATTTTTTCCTCACAGTTCTAGAGACTCGAAGTCCAAGATCAAGGTGCCAGCAGACTCAGTGTCCAGTGAAGCCCCACTTCTTGGTTCATAGATGGCCGAAAGAGTCAAGGGAGCACTCTAGGGCTCTCTTGTAAGGGCACTAATCCCATTCATGAGTGCTCTACCCTCATGAACCAACCACCTATCAAGGGCCGCACTTACTAATACCATCATGCTAGGGGTTAGAATTTTGGCATATGGATTTTGGGGAGACACAAACATTCAGTCTACAGCAATACTAGAGAGGCATAGTAGCATAGCTAGGCAGAATTCAGTGGCCACTTGATATTTGTGGCCTTGTGAGTGAGTGGCTGAGATAGGGTGAAAAAAAAAAAAGATCACAGGAGCCAAGGAGACCAAGGAACTGAAAGACTATAGAGTGGAGGGTGGGTAGACTACCTGGATATTAGTGGTTAAGTTAGTAGCTAAACCAGTCCTTGAATCCAGATATCCTGACTTTTCCAGCTCAGTGGGTTACCGTTTTACTGAGAAATGATTCAGATCAATACTCTTTTGTGCCACCTACCTTTCCAGTTAACTTTTTTTTTTAATTGTGGCCTGATATTTTTTGTTCCGTGTATCTAAATTCTAGATTTTCATAGGCTGGTATTTTTGTCTCTCTTGTCCCTTTAATATCTACTTATTAAATTTTTTGGCTTGTTTATCTGTGTATGTATATGTGTGTATTTTGTTGTGGTTTTAAATTAGATCTATTGAGATATCATTCACATATCACGCCATACATACCAGATTCACGTATTTAAAGTATACAGTTCAATGCTTTTGGTATACTCACAGATATGTATAACCATCACTACAGTTTTAGAACATTTTCATTGCCTCAGAAAGAAACCCCATACCTTGTAGCTAATACTCTTATGTTCTCTCCACCCCTTACCTTAAGCAACCACTAATCTACTTTCTGTCTCTATAGATTTCCCTATTCTGTACTTTCACAGAAATGGAATCATATAGTATGTGATCTTTTGTGATTGGCTTTTTTCACTTAGCATTATGTTTTCAAGGTTCGTCATAGCATGTATCAGTACTTCATTCTTTTTTATGGCTGGATAACATTCCATTGATTGGATATACCACATTTTGCTTATCCATTCATCTTTTGATGAATATTTGGATTGTTTCTGCCTTATGGCTATTATGAATAATGCTGCTATAAATATTTGTGTATAAGTTTCTGTGTGGACATGTTTTCTTTTCTTTTCTTTTCTTTTTTGGACATATGTTTTCTTGAGAATATACCAAAGAGTAGAATTGCTAGGTCATCTGGTAACTATATATAATCATTTGAGGAGCTGCCAGACTGTTTTCCAAAGTGTACCATTTCACATTATCATCAGGAGTATATGAGGGTCCCATTTCTCCAAATCCTTCTCAACACTTGTTATCTGACTTTTTTTTAACATTTTTTATTGATTTATAATCATTTTACAATGTTGTG